GTAATCAGAGACCCTGACAACCCCCGAGTAACAAATTTCAGGTAATTTGGATAGTGATGAATGTCAAGATGCAATATTCTTGATTATTGAGTTTTATCGATTGTTATTGAAATGATCTTGTCAACAAAATATTGAATTTTCTTTTGTTTTTCAATAAACTGTATTGCCTTGTTTTGTCGAATGAGACAAGCGATATATTGTACAATATTGATTATGAAAATTGTCACTTTGACAGATGAAACTTTTTTGATTTTTTGAAGATAATTTTTTAATATATTGAGTTTCTGTCATCGAAAATATTTATTCGACTCCAAAAATGGAAGAATTGAATTCCGATAAAGGAAAAGCTGATTCATTGTCAGATAGGTAAACAATTTCTTTTTGTTTATTAACCTATAAAAATTCTGTTCATTTTAAGTTTATCAATAAAATTAATTAAAAGTAGTTTTTGTTTGTTTGACCGTATTATATATTTTGTAGGATAATGAAAAGGCCTAGATACGGTTTTTTTATATGATGTTTATTTTATAATCCCGACTAGTTTCGAACCATATGGTTCCTCATCAGGGGATGAACAATTTTACAGAAAATTATCCAAATATTGGACACATCATAAAAAGATTTCAAAAAGGATTAAAATATCTGAAAAATATAATTAAAATTGTTTTAATTTTAATTTAAATAGATTTTATGAGGTTATGTTTTAATTTGTGAAAAAAAATTAAAAAATTTTCTTACCCTTTAGAAGAACATTACAAGTATAGAAAAGGAAAAAAAAATTTTTTATTGTAAAAAAATTTTTTTAAAAAACATTTTATATAAAACAATTTAATTAATTTTATAAATTTTGTAGAAACACATTTTTTGCAAAAAATGTGCTTCTATGAACAGAGAGTTATGACAGAGAGGTTGGGTTGTGTATTAGGGTCCAGGTATGATAGGTAAAGTAGATTTCTATGTTATTAAACTTTTTAAATTATGTTTTAAAATAAGTAATTAAATTATAGTATATTTTATCTAGATTGTCAATATCTGTTCTATAATTAATACTATTAGTATTATTTTTTATATAGAACATTTCCAAATTTTTTCTTTTCCAGTTATTTATTTCAATTTGTAAAATATTTGTATTGTCAAAATCAAAAGAATGTTTATTATCAAAAGTATGATTAGTTAAAGCCTTTTCATTATCCTACAAAAAAAAAAAAAAAATTAATTAAAGTTTTATTGTTCTATGATTAACAAATATAATTTTGAAAGCAGTGGAACGGAAAACAAAAGTGAACGCAGTAAAAGACTGAAAACGAATTTTGAAATTAAAAATGTCGATATACGAAATAAGGAAGGAATTTGCAAACTTTGCCGCGAAGAAATGTAGAACGAATAATTAAGATGAAGAATTGTAACACTTCTGGTTTAATGCGTCATTTAGAAAATCACCACAGCGATCTATTTAAAGATATTTATGGTTGCAACTCATCGGGTTCTGCAGGAAAAAAGGTTAATAATATAAAATCATGTTTCTCCAACACTTATTTTTCAATAGTTATTTTTTATCTAATTAATGTTAAAATTTTTTTAATTTTAATTTCCATGATTCAGAATCAATTAATTTCTTTTACTATATAGCTAATCATAAAAGCAATTAACAATTTTAATAAATCTTTTTGAAACTAGATATCATTTGAGTTTTATTTTAATTAATAAATGAGCAAAAAATACTATTAAAATTACAGTAAATATAAATTTTTATTTTGTACCAAGAAATTTTTTTTTAAAAATTACAAAAAATTGTCTAATTTTATAGATAAAACTTTCAATCAAGAAACCTTCGAACAATTATTGGTGACGATGTGTGCAAAAAAGTGCCTCCCATTTAACTTTTTCGACGACGCTGAATCCAGAAGTGTTTTTGAGTATTTGAATAATGCAGCACAATTACCTCAACGCAATAAATTGAAATCGCTATTTTTATCTCACTATGAAGAAACCAAAAAAATTGTATTAGCAATTTTACAAAATAATACTTCGAAAATGTCATACACTGTTGATGGATGGACGTCAATACGGGGGAAATCGTACTACGGCATTACTGGACACTTTATCGATGAAAATTGGATTTTGAGGTCTTTGGTAATTGATTTCGTACCATCAAATGGAAAACACACAGGCAAAGACATCGCCGATTTATTTTTAGAAGTTTTGAAAGAAAAGGGTTTATAAGAGAAGTTACAAGCAATAACTGTGGACAACGCGTCAGTGAATACGACTTTTATGGAACAGCTTGTGAATCTACTAAATACGACTTTTGGTATGAATTTGAATGCCACAGATTTGCATTTTCGTTGTCTTGCACACGTAGTCAACTTAGGTGCTCAAGATTTGTTGCGCGAACTGGAAATTGACGAAGATTCTGAAGAAATTGAGGATGACGACGGTGAATCTGTTGATGGATTAGAGAACGATGATGTAGAGAACGCAGAAATAACTCGAGGGTCAAAAGTCATGATTCGACTAAGAAATCTTTTCAAAAAACTGAAATACTCCGAACAAATTCGAGAAAAATTAAAGTCAGCTTCCGATGTACTGGGAGTGAAAATGTTGTCTCCAATTTTAGACGTTGCTACAAGGTGGAATTCATCATATGAAATGATTAAAAGAGCTCTGCAGATGAGACCGGCTTTGGATTTTCTTTGCAGTAGCAGTGATTCAAAATTGAAATCCTGCGTTCTTACGGAAACAGAGTGGACACTTTTAACAAATGTTCGCAAACCTCTGCAATGTTTTAAATCATTGTCAACAACTCTTTGCGGTGAAAAATATATCACTCTGCCTCTGGTCGTATTAGGGCTTAATTTACTTTTGGACAAATTGGAACATGATATAACACGTATAAATCAAAATCGAAAAAGAACGTTAATTGACATTAAATTTCGAGATGCTCTCCAGAGTGGTGTGGACAAAATTTTAAAACATTACCGGAAATTCAATTAGATATACAAAGCAATTTTGATTCTTGATCCAGGATTTAAATATAAAATGTTTCAAAAGACAGAATGGGGTCGGGAAATGGCTTCTGAGTCTTTAAAAAAAGTTTGAAAAGATGTTCGAAGACTTGTACGCACCCAAACAATCTGAAAATCAACCAGAAGATAACTTTCAATTGCTATCAGGAAACAGAGCAGAACGAGCTAATGAAGATGATGAAGATGATGAAGATGAATTCAATATTCTCACGTTTTTTAAACAAGTTTCTGTACCTGCATGGCGTGAAGAAATTGATGCATATTAAAAAGCACCACTCGCTTATAGGAATACGGATATCGGTCTCTGGTGGAAGCAAAATCAAAATAGGTATCACAATTTAAGTCGCATGGCCAGAGATCTCTTCAGCATTCAAGCGACTTCTGTACTGGCAGAACGCCTATTTTCGAAAGCTAGATTAATTATGAGAAAACACCGGAATCAATTGAATAATGAATCAGCTAGAATCTCTATCTGTCTCAATTCCTGGATGACATGTAGTTTACATTCAAATATTAAAGAAAAGCTTAACCGTTCTTAGAGTTTCAGATCTGAGTTGTTTAATTAAACAAAAACCTCTTTGCTAATTATGTTAATTGTAGATTATGTTAATTTAATAAAAATTATTATAAAGATTGAACACTTTCCCTTCTGCTCTAAATTCTTTATTAGGTTGGATACAGTTTTTCTAAAAAGTATTTTCTAATTTTTTATTTTCTAAAAAATTTTTTTCTACTAAAATTGAATTTCTAAAAAGCTGTTTTCTAATGAAGGTGATTTTATAATTTTTTTTTTCTAATAAATGTAATTTTCTAAAAAATTCTTTTTCTAATAAAGGTAATTAAAAAAAAATTTTCTAACAATACTTAGAATTTGGTTAAAAATTATAATAAAAGATAGAAATTATGCAAATTTTTTAACAAAATTTAAAAATAATCTAGTTAAAAATCGTAATTAACAAATAGAAATTATAGGGAATTTTTCCTAAAAATATTTTAAATTTTTTTAAAAAATGTTTTATAAATAAATTAATTTTGGAAATTTTGGTATAAAAATGATTTGATTTTTTTAAATGAACAGAATTTTGTTAACAAATTGTGATAAGAAATAGTAATTTTATAAAAAAAATTTCTACTTTTTAAAAAAGAAACTTATATAATATTAAAAACAAAATTGTAATAATATTTCAGATACAGAGAATATGCAAAATTAATTTTTATTTTATTATTATACAAAATAATAATAAACATAATTTTTATTTCAATTACTTATTAATATACGTATTTTATTTAATTAATTTCATATTTAAAAGAACAATAATCAATAATATTAAATTATATCGCTTAATTATTGACTTTAGGGATTCATTTGTCAAGAATAGGTTGACAATTATTCTTGAAGTTCAATACAAATTATTGATCTTGTTTTTTTCTCGACTTTATCGATTTAATGCATCACTAAATTTGGATCAATTTTTAAAAAAGTCGTCTGCCATATTGGATCCGACATTTTGAATTTTGTAAAACCATTATCATATTCGTAATCAGCGACCCTGACAACCCCCCAGTAACAAATTTCAGGCAATTTTAGACATTTTTAAAATAAAAATGCATTGTATTTTCCATGGCAAAGATTTTGGAAAATTTGCTAAAAGTGTTGTTTTTAAAAATTTATAACATTTTTATAATTCATTGAATTTAAAAACAGAAACGTGCGTCGCATTTTGCATAGCGTTGACTTTTTAGAAATCATTTTATTTTTAATTTTAAGCTATTTTTGACTTTTTTACATCAATTTTTATCATGGCAAAGATTGTCAGTTTTCCGGCAGTCAGAGCAAAGTCCGAAATGGCAAAGATCTTTGCCATCGACAGTCAAGGGGTTAATTATTACAAAGAAATTTGTAAAAAATTAAATATTGTAACAAATTAAATAATTTAATTTCTATATAATTTACCAAGAAAAGCATTGACTTACATAAAAAATTAGAGGAAGAAATTCCTCATTTCCTCTACCTTGTGGAGGAAGATCATCCTCTCTTGCAGGAGGCATCCGTCTTCAGCGGTTGCCTGCTTGTTCCCCTGGTATTTCCTCCTCTTCTTCGACGACAGCCTCCTCCTCTACTAAATCGTCTGCCTCATTAGCTGCGTCCTCTTCTTCTCCAGGTGAACACCTGGAGGAAATCGTTCTTCAACCCCCACGTGTACATGCCCGATTGCGCGCGGGGGTGAGTGAACAACAAAAATTTGCCTTGGCAAAAATTCTTCTTCCTCATCAAATCCTGACCGTCTGTAGTTTATTTTTGCTAAAAATGAAAACAGTTGAGAATTATTTTTAATAAGAAAGAAAATATAATTTTTTTTATTAAATTAAAAGAAAAAACTGTTTATTACGAAAGTAATAAAAAATGTTTTATTTTAAACTATAATTAATTTACTTACCTTTTAAATATTTTGCTTTTAATTAAACTATTTATTTACTAGTAAATTACACCATGCGGGCAAAAGGTTGTAGAGAACTGAGAGTTGCTTCTTCTTTCTTTGTGGTTTTTCATAAAAGTAGTGCTCGTTTGTGATATATAATATGTGCATTCATCGCTTATAGAAATAAATTAATATAAAATCATCAAAGAAACATTATCCAATTAGGAGAATAGAAATTTTTTCTTGTATTTGTTATAAACAATTAAGAGACTAAAAACTTGATTTTTTAAAATTTACTATATTTTATAGTTTAAAAGTTATATTTATGGGGCAAAGAATATTCTATGATACCTGTAATTAATATATTGAAAAAAATTATTTGTTAATTAATTTAATAATTAATTAAACATTTTTAATAAACAAATAAATAACAGAAATGTTTCTTATAGCAAATTTTTTATTTTTTATGCAATTGACTAGTAAAACCTTTCATTCTTTCAACATATTCCATTATAATGTTTAAACAATGAAATAACACTGTTGAATTATTTAAACAATTTTAATTAACAAATACCTAATATTGACAATTTTTACAAGGAAGTAATCTTTTTTTACACAAAATCATGTTAATACAACTAATTTACATTTAAAAGTAGTAGAATAAAAAAATAACAATTCAATAATCGCTTATTTAAACAATTTTAATTAACAATTAGCTAATATTGTTAATTTTAACAAGGAAGTATTCTTTTTTTACACAAAATCATTTTAATACAATCAACTTACATTTAAAAGTAGTAGAATAAAAATATAACAATTCAATAATCGATTATTTAAACAATTTTAATTAACAAATACCTAATATTGTTAATTTTTACAAGGAAGTAATCTTTTTTTACACAAAATCATTTGTCTGACATATTGGATCCGCCATTTTGGATTTTAAAAATTCATCATCATATTCGTAATCAGCGACCTTGACAACCGCCGAGTAATAAATTTCAGGTAAATTGGATCAATTTTTAAAAAAGTGATCCGCCATCTTGAATTTTGTAAAACCATCATCATATTCGTAATCAGCGACCCCGACAACCCCCGAGTAACAAATTTCAGGCAATTTTAGACATTTTTAAAATAAAAATGCATTGTATTTTCCATGGCAAAGATTTTGAAAAATTTGCTAAAAGTGTTGTTTTTAAAAATTTATAACATTTTTATAATTCATTGAATTTAAATACAGGAACGTGCGTCGCATTTTGCATAGCGTTGACTTTTTAGAAATCATTTTATTTTTAATTTTAAGCTATTTTTGACTTTTTTACATCAATTTTTATCATGGCAAAGATTGTCAGTTTTCCGGCAGTCAGAGCAAAGTCCGAAATGGCAAAGATCTTTGCCATCGGCAGTCAAGGGGTTAATTATTACAAAGAAATTTGCAAAAAATTAAATATTGTAACAAATTAAAGAATTTAATTTCTATATAATTTACAAAGAAAAGCATTGACTTAGATGAAAAATTAGAGGAAGAAGTTCCTCATTTCCTCTACCTTGTGGAGGAAGATCATCCTCTCTTGCAGGAGGCATCCGTCTTCGGCGGTTGCCTGCTTGTTCCCCTGGTATTTCCTCCTCTTCTTCGACGACAGCTTCCTCTTTTACTGAATCGTTTGCCTCATTAGCTGCGTCCTTTTCTTCTCCTGGTGAACACCTGGAGGAAATCGTTCTTCAACCCCCACGTGTACATGTCCGATTGCACGCGGGGGTGGGTGGACAACAAAAATTTGCCTTGGCAAAATTTCTTCTTCCTCAGCAAATCCTGCCCGTCTGTAGTTTGTTTTTGCTAAAAATGAAAACAGATGAGAATTATTTTTAATAAGAAAGAAAATATATTTTTTTTCATTAATTTAAAAGAAAAAACTGTTTATTACGAATGTAATAAAAAATGTTTTATTTTAAACTATAATTAATTTACTTACCTTTTAAATATTTTGCTTCCAATTAAACTATTTATTTACTAGTAAATTACACCATGCGGGCAAAGGGTTGTAGTGAACTGAGAGTTGCTTCTTGTTTCTTTGTGGTTTTTCATAAAAGTAGTGCTCGTTTGTGATATAATATGTGCATTCATCGCTTATAGAAATAAATTAATATAAAATCATCAAACAAACATTATCCAATTAAGAGAATAGGATTTTTTTTGTATTTGTTATAAACAATTAAGAGACGAAAAACCTGATTTTTTAAAATTTACTATAGTTTATAGTTTAAAAGTTATATTTATGGGGGAAAGAATATTTGTAAATACCTGTAATAAAGATATTGAAAAAAAATTATTTGTTAATTAATTTAATAATTAATTAAACATTTTTAATAAACAAATAAATAACAGAAATGTTTCTTATAGCAAATTTTTTATTTTTTATGCAGTTGACTAGTAAAACCTTGCATTCTTTCAAGATATTCTATTATAATGTTTAAACAATGAAATAACACCGTTGAATTATTTAACCCATTAACGCCCAACTCGTGAAAATTCTTTGGTCATTTTCAAGCTACGTAATTATAAATAAAACGGTTGACAATTTAAACCAGAGGTACATTTTCTAAAGGTTTTGGATGTGCTCTTTCCGATTCCGGTGTCAAAAATAAATTTCGTCCAAACCAAAATTAAATATGGCGGTTTTAATGTCAAAAAACACAAAAAAAATTCATTTTTTCAAGTTTGACATTTTTTTTCACCTTGAAAAAGTATAAGAATAAAATTCTATTTTCAACTATCGGTGCATAAAAATTATACACTTTAAAGAACCGTAAAGTAGAATTAAAAATTTCAAGATGGCGGACCAATATGGCGTCAAATCTAAAGTAAAATTTAAAAATTTTGGGCAATATTGGTCAAATTGCCCAAAATTCAATGGATTCGCCTGAATTTTGTTACTCGGGGGTTTTTGGGGTCGCTGATTACGAATATAAACTTCATTTTCAAAAATTCAAAATGGCGGATCCAATATGGCGGACGAGTTTTACAAAATTTTTATCGAATTCACTTGAAACTTGTCACTCGGGGGTTTTTGGGGTCGCTGATTACGAATCTGATGTTACTTTTTCAAAATTCAAAATGGCGGATCCAATATGGCGGACTAAGTTTTTAAAACTGATCAAATTCACTTGAAACTTGTTACTCGGGGGTTTTTGGGGTCGCTGATTACGAATATAAACTTCATTTTCAAAAATTCAAAATGGCGGATCCAATATGGCGGACGAGTTGTACAAAATTTCATCGAATTCACTTGAAACTTGTCACTCGGGGGTTTTTGGGGTCGCTGATTACAAATATGAACTTCATTTTCAAAAATTCAAAATGGCGGATGCAATATGGCGGACTTATTTTTTAAATCTGATCAAATTCACTTGAAACTTGTTACTCGGGGGTTTTTGGGGTATTCTATTTCACGCGTGTATGACTTTTTAGCACGTTTTGCTTTTGGCGGCATTTCTAAAAACCCAACCGTTAAAATTCAATAACTGAATGCAACAACTATACACAAAAATGACAATATCGTGCTGTATGAAAAAACTGCCTCTCTTTAGGATAAAACAAAAAAATAAATAATTTATGCCATTATAAAGGGCTAGAGAAACATAACGTATGTAAAAAATAATATTCCTATTATACTTCAGATGCAACCGTGGACCACCAATGGCAATTGCAGAATGTGCATATATGTATCGCCTACTATATATAAACTTGCTTTCTTTCTAATTACACTGAAAAAAATGATATTGTCGATTTTGTCATACGAGTATAGTAAGGTATTATAGATGAAAAAGCAATACTGTATTTCTGTTCTTCACATACATATTACTGTCTCTCACATACATATGGCTGCTCTACACTCCATATGGCTGAAACAGCAATACTGTATGTCAGTTCCATATACACCAATATAATATCTGAGAATTGGTTATATTTACATCAGTACCATAAATATATTTTTTTCAGTTTATGTGCATAAACAACACCGAGAACCAATTAAATGAGTTTTCCAATTTTGCTGTCCGCCAAGAGATTCAAAATTATCTCAAAAACCCCTGAGTAACAAAATTTAAGTCAATAGATTGAAATTTGAAGATTCTTGTCCGCCATATTGCATCCGCCATTTTGAATGTTTGAAAATAAAGTTCATATTCGTAATCAGCGACCCCAAAAACCCCCGAGTAACAAGTTTCAAGTGAATTTGATCAGATTTAAAAAATAAGTCCGCCATATTGCATCCGCCATTTTGAAATTTTGAAAATGAAGTTCATATTCGTAATCAGCGACCCCAAAAACCCCCGAGTGACAAGTTTCAAGTGAATTCGATGAAATTTTGTACAAATCGTCCGCCATATTGGATCCTTGTCCGCCATATTGCATCCGCCATTTTGAATATTTGAAAATAAAGTTCATATTCGTAATCAGCGACCCCAAAAACCCCCGAGTAACAAGTTTCAAGTGAATTTGATCAGATTTAAAAAATAAGTCCGCCATATTGCATCCGCCATTTTGAATTTTTGAAAATGAAGTTCATATTCGTAATCAGCGACCGCAAAAACCCCCGAGTGACAAGTTTCAAGTGAATTCGATGAAATTTTGTACAAATCGTCCGCCATATTGGATCCGCCATTTGAATTTTTGAAAATGAAGTTTATATTCGTAATCAGCGACCCCAAAAACCCCCGAGTAACAAGTTTTAAGTGAATTTGATCAGTTTTAAAAAATAAGTCCGCCATATTGGATCCGCCATTTTGAATTTTGAAAAAGTAACATCAGATTCGTAATCAGCGACCCCAAAAACCCCCGAGTGACAAGTTTCAATTGAATTCGATGAAATTTTGTAAAACTCGTCCGCCATATTGGATCCGCCATTTTGAATTTTTGAAAATGAAGTTTATATTCGTAATCAGCGACCCCAAAAACCCCCGAGTAACAAAATTCAGGCGAATCCATTGACTTTTGGGCAATTTGACCAATATTGCCCAAAATTTTTAAATTTTACTTTAGATTTGACGCCATATTGGTCCGCCATCTTGAAATTTTTAATTCTACTTTACGGTTCTTGAAAGTGTATAATTTTTATGCACCGATGGTTGAAAATAGAATTTTATTCTTATACTTTTTCAAGGTGAAAAAAAATGTCAAACTTGAAAAAATGAATTTTTTTTTTGTGTTTTTTGACATTAAAACCGCCATATTTAATTTTGGTTTAGACGAAATTTATTTTTGACACCGGAATCGGAAAGAGCACATCCAAAACCTTTAGAAAATGTACCTCTGGTTTAAATTGTCAACCGTTTTATTTATAATTACGTAGCTTGAAAATGACCAAAGAATTTTCACGAGTTGGGCGTTAATGGGTTAAACAATTTTAATTAACAATTAGCTAATATTGTTAATTTTTACAAGGAAGTAATCTTTTTTTACACAAAATCATGTTAATACAACCAATTTACATTAAAAAGTAGTAGAATAAAAATATAATAATTCAATTATCGATTATTTAAACAATTTTAATTAACAAATACCTAATATTGTTAATTTTTACAAGGAAGTAATCTTTTTTTACACAAAATCATTTGTCTGACATATTGGATCCGCCATATTGGATTTTGAAAAATCATTATTATATTCGTAATCAGCGACCCCGACAACCCCCGAGTAACAAATGTCAGGTAAATTGGATCAATTTTTAAAAAAGTGATCCGCCATTTTGAATTTTGTAAAGCCATTATCATATTCGTAATCAGCGACCCCGACAACCCCCGAGTAACAAATTTCAGGCAATTTTAGACATTTTTAAAATAAAAATGCATTGTATTTTCCATGGCAAAGATTTTTAAAAATTTGCTAAAAATGTTGTTTTTAAAAATTTATAACATTTTTATAATTCATTGAATTTGAAAACAAAAACGTGCGTCGCATTTTGCATAGCGTTGACTTTTTAGAAATCATTTTATTTTTAATTTTAAGGTATTTTTGACTTTTTTACATCAATTTTTATCATGGCAAAGATTGACAGTTTTAACAGAGTTGTTGTTAAATTGATAGTTTAACAGAAATGTTTCTTATAGCAAATTTTTTATTTTTCATGCAGTTGACTAGTAAAACCTTTCATTCTTTCAACATATTCCATTATAATGTTTAAACAATTAAATAACACCGTTGAATTATTTAAACAATTTTAATTAGCAAATACCTAATATTGTTAATTTCTACAAGGAAGTAATCTTTTTTTACACAAAATCATGTTAATACAACCAATTTACATTTAAAAGTAGTAGAATAAAAATATAACAATTCAATAATCGATTATTTAAACAATTTTAATTAACCCTTTGCGGCATAGTGGTAACCCAGATTACCACCTTTTATATTCTGAAAATATCTGTTTATATACAGTCTTTTTCAAGTAAAATCAAAAAATCTTTTTTTATTAAGGGGTAACAACACCCAGAGCCTATACAAAATACGGTCTATTTCAATTAATTATTTTAAGAAAACGGTTCAGTACAATGTTGCTAGGTTTTCTGCAACGTTAAACACATGAATTAAACTTAATTTAAAAATAAAAAAAAAATTTTGTTTTCAAAATGGCACCTTCACAACAGTTCAACGTAGATTACGTTTTTTAAAACAACCTCTGCGGCCGGAAGCTTTTCTACGTTCCATAAGCACCTAGGCAAAAAATTCAAACGAATTATGAAAGAGGATGACATTTACTAGAAAAGTACATAGGATATTTTAAAAATATCAATTTTTCGCAAAATGGTATGACTTCGATGACAAAAATGTTATTTTTTGTTAAAAAATCAAGGTAAAAATGGTTATAAAACGGAAACGCATTAACCGATCTAAAAAATCCTATGTACTTCGATAAAGAATGTTGTTTTAAAGCTACAGTCTAAATTTTAATTGAATCGCTTGGAAATCGTTACTCGGGGGTTTTTGGGGTCGCTGATTATGAATCTGAAATTACTTTCAAGAAATAAACGTTAATTTATTGAATAATTGTATCGTCGGCATTTGCGTTACCCGATGTACACCGCGGGGAGGTTGCACGATCGGATTTTGTACATCGTTTAGCCCTGAAAAGGGCAGATTGGTAAATACTGTTCAAAACTTTATAATAATCAAATTGAGCTGTTTATTTCCTAATAAAATTAACTAACTAATTAAAATCAGCGGATTTTAATTGCTATTATAAAGTTTTGATGTGTCTTGCTTTGGACAATTGAATTTTATTTTCAGCAGTGGTAAGCAGCGAAGCAATTTCTTGTGGGAAGCAGGCAGAGTGGTACATTGCAAGTTTTACACATCCATGATGTTCGCTTTTGGTCGGCTTTAGTACTGCAATGAGCGCAGCGTCTAGGTGAAGCGATAATTTCAGGCATATGAGCTGATTGACTTTTTCTTTTTTCCTCTGACACTTTTGGTTTGTAAGAAGAGATTGTACTCAATTTACCTTTCTTCCCAGTTGAACTTGGTAGTTTGTGTCCTACCAATTCATCTACTAAACGTAACCTGAATTCTTTCGAAGTCAAAGTTGGGTTCAATCTCTTCTCTTTGTACAAAATATACGCATTGACAACAATGACATCTAAGAAATGGAAGCATATTTTATGCCACCATTTCTTAGATTTCCTGTCAATGTTATATGTTGACAAGAGATGGTCAGCCTTATCTACATAGCCCATGTGTTTGTTGTAGTCAAAAGCCATTATAGGACAACTGGTGGGTTTCAGCGTGCCATCTTTTTGTTTCCGATTTACCGACGCAGTTTCACGAGGGTCATGATAGTTAGACAAGAAGTAGACTGCCTTCTTGTCCATCCATTTGACCCATCGATTACCCGTATTCGATGTTCGGAATTCGCTATCACCATGTTTCATTTGTTTGTCTTGCACTTCACTTTTTGGCAATCTTGATCGATTCTGACGTACAGTACCGCAAGCAAAAATTTTATCTTTTTCCAGAGATATCATAAGATCTACCCCTGTGAAAAAGTTATCAAAATAAACATGGTGATTGTTGCCCTTCAATTCGCGAGTGAGATCTTTTACTACTCTTGCTCCTAACTGCTTTTCCGTACTTTCAGTTTTACCTGTGTACATCTGAAATTCGCATACATAACCTGATGGATCTGCTCGAACCTAGCACTTATATCCCCGTTTTATAGGTTTGAGTGGCATGTATTGTTTCATCCTACTGCGACCTTTGAATTTTATCATAGATTCATCGACACTTTGGTATTTATTTGGCATAAAATTTTTTTTAAAATTTTCATTCACCTTATCTAGAAAAGGCCGCAATTTATATAACTTGTCATAAGCCGCATTACCCTTTTTTGGTTCTGTACTGTTATCGGTGATGTGTAAACAACCAAGAAAAAATCCGAATCTAACAACAGACATCAACGAACTTATGTAAGGATCATTTAGTTGCGAAATGGCAGACCAGTAATGCCGATAAGAAGGAGAATTTTTAACACCCATTAAAATATTAATGCCCAAGAAAATCAACAATTCTTCTTTATTAGTGGGTGGTTGTTTATATCCCTTTTGTTGCAAATAACGATTTGTTTCTTGAACAATCAAGTCAAGCAAATCATCGGAAAATAAGCAAAGAAATATTTCTGATGGCGTTTTGACATTATCGGGAATATTAGGTCCAACATTTCTAGTAAAGGGAGCATCCCTTTTCCTCTTTCCTGATTTTACCCACTTTTCATCACTATCTGAGACATCGTCTGCAGAATCTTCTTCATCGAAGATAGCAGAACTACTCTGCTTAGTAGCTTTATTTCGTTTATCCCTAATGTTCAAATCATCATCAATATCGGAAACACATAAGTCATCAATAGAGTCACTATCACTTGGAATATCGACCAACTCCACTTCTTCCTCCATGTTCTCAGTCAAATATAATTATAATAGCAGCACAATGAGCACAAGAAAGGAAACAAAAAACCAACGGGCAAAGTCACGAAAAATAGGATACTGAAAATAATATAAAATACAAAAACAAATGACAATCGCAATAGAAGACAAGCTCTAAATTAGTATTATTTGACTGCACGAATATCCACGTTATTGGTAACAAAAAATAAAGAAAACACTTCTGAGTTAAAAGACACTGTACATACACTGAAATCAAATAAATGCTGCTAAAAAACGAACAAAAGACTGAAAGTGGAAAAAAAGTTCTTTTCACTAAAAGCACGTTCACGCACTAAGCAAGAAATAAAAAACAGAAACACAAATGAAAGACGAAAAACTTATACTTTTTCATAGAATATAAGTTTAAATAACAAGAAATAAATAAAAAACACAAAGAAAAATTAGCCCTAATTCAGAATTATTTGACTGAACGCATACCTACGTTGATGATAACAAACAATAAACAAAACATTATTCAGAGTTTGACAAAACAAATGAGAAGTGCAAAAAGACAAGTTCTAATTCAACATTATTTTACTGAACGCATACCTACGTTGATGGTAACAAACAATAAACAAAATACTATCCATAGTTTGACGAAACAAATGACAAGCGTAAAAAAGACAAGTTCTAATTCAGCATTATTTGACTGACCGCATATCTACGTTGATGATAACAAACAATAAACAAAACATTATTCAGAGTTTGACAAAACAAATGAGAAGTGCAAAAAGACAAGTTCTAATTCAACATTATTTAACTGAACGCATACCTACGTTGATGGTAACACACAATAAACAAAACACTATTCATAGTTTGACGAAACAAATGACAATCGCAAAAAAGACAAGTTATAAATTAGCAATATTTGACTGAACGCATATTTACGTTGATTATAACAAACAATAAACAAAACAGTGTTGAGAGTTCAAAGGCACTAAAATACTAACTGGACTAAAGCAAATAAATTTTGCAGAAAGCGAATTGCTTCGCTGCTTACCACTGCTGAAAATAAAATTCAATTATTGTTCAAAGCAAGACACATCAAAACTTTATAATAGCAATAAAAATCCGCTTATTTTAATTAATTAGTTAATTTTATTAGGAAATAAACAGCTCATTTTCATTATTACTATAAAGTTTTGAACAGTATTTACCAAACTGCCCTTTTCAGGGCTAAACGATGTACAAAACCCGATCGTGCAACCTCCCCGCGGTGTACATCGGGTAACGCAAATGCCGACGGTACAATTATTCAATAAATTAACGTTTATTTATTGAAAGTAATTTCAGATTCGTAATCAGCGACCCCAAAAACCCCCGAGTAACGATTTCCAAGCGATTTCGATCAATTATAAGAAATTCGTCCGCCATATTGGATCCTCCATCTTGAATTTTGGAAAACCGACTTCAGATTCGTAATTAGCGACCCCAAAAACCCCCGAGTAACTATTTTCAAGCGATTTCGATCAATTCTAAAAAAATTCATCCGCCATATTGGATCCGCCATCTTGAATTTTTAAAAACGGACTTCAGATTCGTGATCAGCGACCCCGAAAACCCCGGAGTAACTATTTTCAAGCGATTTCGATCAATTCTAGAAAAATTTGTCCGCCATATTGGATCCGCCATTTTGAATTTTAGAAAACGGACTTCAGATTCGTGATCAGCGACCCCGAAAACCCCGAGTAACTATTTTCAAGCGATTTCGATCTATTCTAAAAAAATTCGTCCGCCATATTGGATCCGCCATCTTGAATTTTGGAAAACGGATTTCAGATTCGTAATCAGTGACCCTAAAAACCCTCATAAGCATTTGTGATTTTTAAATTAATGTCATAATGTTATGCATGCCGCAAAGGGTTAACAAATACCTAATATTGTTAATTTTTACAAGGAAGTAATCTTTTTTTACACAAAATCATTTTAATACAACCAACTTACATTTAAAAGTAGTAGAATAAAAATATAACAATTCAATAATCGATTATTTAAACAATTTTAATTAACAAATACCTAATATTGTTAATTTTTACAAGGAAGTAATCTTTTTTTACACAAAATCATTTTAATACAACCAACTTACATTTAAAAGTAGTAGAATAAAAATATAACAATTCAATAATCGCTTATTTAAACAATTTTAATTAACAAATACCTAATACTAACCGCACTATCCGCGCGCAAGCGCGCGGGAATGTTGTGTGAAACTGCTTATTATAAACAATTAAAAAAATTTAAAGAAATAATTATTATTACCTAACAAAGAGATTTAACTAACTAAAATTCAAATAATTTCACTCAATGGTCTCAATTCAAATAGAATTTACATTACTAGACTTAAACTATGGATAAAACAATTCCAATTAGTATCTGGGTCATCTTTTGCATTGCTTATTTTATAAACACATTTTAATTTAAATACATTTTTAAGAAATAATAATTATTACACACTGAAAAAAGTTTTACTTGAAATAGCGATAAGTTTCTCTAGAATAAGGAAAGTATTAATTGAAGCACTGAAAAATTTCGCTACTAAAGTGAAATCTGTAGTTTATCCAGCTATTTTTTGCCGTGCATAACGAAAAAAGAATTAAATTAACATCAGATTTATTAAATTAAAAAAAACGTATTCAAACAGAAATTCATCACTTTAAAACTTAACCAAATTCACCCCAGAAATCACTGAATTCGATAATTTAGAAGAAAGTCAGACAAAAGCAGGGTTCCTACAGTATCTGTAAATCATGGAAATGGTATGGAATTTTTAAAAGGCTTTTGAAATCAGGGAAATCATGGAAAAGGTCTGAAATTTTTAAAAGTTTTTAAATTTTTCAGTTTTCCATCTTTTTTCTTGAAATTCAAATAATAATAAAGCTTAATCCCATAAAAGAGAGGAAAAAAGTTGAATTTTAAAAAATTCAGATTTTTGAATTTTTGATAATTTTAGATTTTTAACCAAAGAGTCCAGACTATTTAATAAGTATAAAATATATTATATTATAATATATATATATATATATATATATATATATATATATATATATATATAGTATATTATATTTTTATAAGTATTTTCCAAGAGCACAAAAATAATGAAGCTAAATCCCATAAAAGAGAGAAAAAAATGTTGAATTTTAAGAAATTCGGTTTTTTGAATTTTTGATAATTTTTGATAATTTTTGATAATTTTAGATTTTTTACCAAAGAGTCGAGACTATTAAATAAGTAAAGTATTTTCCAAGAGCACAAAAATAATAAAGCTAAATCTTATAAAAGAGTGGAAAAAATGTTGAATTTTAAGAAATTCAGATTTTTGAATTTTTGATAATTTTCGATAATTTTAGATTTTTTACCAAAGAGTCGAGGCTATTTAATAAGTAAAGTATTTTCCAAGAGCCCAAAAATAATGAAGCTAAATACTATCAAAGAGAAGAAAAACTGTTGAATTTTAAAAAAATCGGTTTTTCGAATTTTTGATAAATTTTGATAATTTTAGAATTTTTACCAAAGGGTGGGGACTATTAAATAAGTAAAGTGTTTTTAAAGAGCCCAAAAATATTGAAATTAGATTTAAAATTCCACTGGAATTTCGTAAAAATTTGACCTGGAAATCATCGAAAAGGTATGGAATTTTAAATTCGGATTTCTGTAGGAATCCTAAAAAGGAAGTTCTATTTTGAATTTCTATAATTTAATGTCAAATTTAACGCATTAGAAACGAATTACAAGTGAATCCGATAAATTTTGTTAAAATGCTATTACTGCTGTTAAACTTTCTTGTTGTACGAAGAAAATTGAATATCGCAAAAATTGTTACATATTTTATACTTTTATTTTCAAAATAATTTAAAAATTAAAAATAATTTTAATAACGAAACTTTTAATTATTCTAAAAATTAAAAAAAATAATTATTTATTTAGCTTTTTAAACGAAGAATTCCGTATCTTTCGAATCTAACATAACTGCAAAAAATTAAATTAATTGAAAATGATAAAGTTAAACAACATTCAATTCTAATTTCTTTGGAAAACAAAAAATCTGTAGTAAAAATACTAATTATAACTTGCATTAATTATTTAATTACAAGATGTAATATAATATAATGAAGCAGGGTCAGAATTTCTCAAACGGATCACCTAAAACTAAAAAATTTTCTTTTTAAACCAAAATAGTTTTTTTGACGCCTAATATGGCTAAGAAGAATCCCTTAAAATATTAAGCCAAAGAAAAATTTTTTGTAAAAGTTATTAACAATTGAATTTTTTAGTACTGCTAAATTAACAAATTTTTTTCTCGAGTTCCAGTTGACGGATTTTAAAATTAAAATATGGGTTTTTTTCGTCTTGAATTGCACTATTTGAATATATTTTTTGTATTTAAATTTTTTTATTTTTTATAATTTTTTATATAATTTGTTTATAAAATATTAATAAACAAATATGTTCTTCACGTCCTAATAAAAAAATTAAAATTGTATTCTATTCCTTAAATGTCTCCGAGTCTAAAACTGTTTAGAAAAAAAATGAGCCTCAGTTAGAAAAAAAGTTATTAATTAAAAACTGCAGCTGTGTAGAGCTTTACATGACGTTAAACTGGCCCCGCGCACATTGGCGTTTTTTTACAATTTACTGTTCAAAATTGCCGGTAACCTACAGATTTTATCGGATTTGCATGGGCTTGGTCTTAAATTAAAGGGGATAAAATTTCTAAGAGATCCCACTAAACCAATTTTTGAATTTTAAATTGTTTATATTTTTTTTGTTACTCAAAGTTAACAATTTACAATATTTTTAGAAAAAATCATGTTTATTTTTTTATTGCAGATGATTGGAATCAATTTAAACTAGTCCAGCATGACCACCATAATACAATTTATTTAAATTGTTGCAAACAATGTTAATTAACAAATAGATAACTTTGGATCTTTTTTATAAAAAATTTTTTTTTTGCAGAGAAATTTATGTTTATTTAAGTAATCTATGTCGATTTTAGTAAAAAATGATTTTCAATTTAAAAATTATTATTGTTATTGACAATTATTATGAACTATAATCAAGTTTCTTTAACATTTGTAAACATTTTAGGCATTTTTTAAACATAAAATGTTTATATAATATGTACATTCTTTCAAAAACTTTAATAATTTATTAGCACAAACAATGACATTTTCTTCAAACAAATTATTTACTTTTTAAACAAATAATTGGCTTATTTCTTGGCTTAATATTTTCAGGGATTCTTCTTAGCCATATTAAG